GGTCACCAGGGAAAAAAAGCCTAAAAATAGAAAACAAATGCAGCCACCACATCGTCAAGGCTTGGCAAGCTGCAATATATTATATTTGTTATCCTTTTCCTAGTCTTATTTTATTTTAATTGTTAATATTTTTTTATGTCTGTTTTTGTATTTTTGGTATAATATTAATAATTTTTTATTTGTTTTTTATTATTGTTGAATGTAACCATCCAGATAGCTTTATAGGTTTTGTTTAGGATGGATGGTGTATATTTTATTATTTTTTATTTACATGTATTTTAATGGTTTTTAATTATTTTGCTTTTTGGCAACAAGCACCATATTTACATATTGCATTTTTTGTTTTGGGTCCTCCAGAGGATTTACCCCCTATGTGTGTTTTTACTAGGGAAACATGCTGCTGTGTATTTCTCTCTCTGTGTTTTGCAGACCCACATGGAAGAAAAATATATTTGAAATATATTTTAAAAATATTCTTCCCAAATATATTGACATATATTTGAAATGCTACAATATTGGCCATATTCAATATATTTCAATATATATATATATATATATATATATATATATGTGTGTGTCTATACACACTGCATGTTGAAATGCATTTTAATTACAAAATATATGAAAACTTTAAATTAAAATTAAAAATACATTTCAAATATACTGTATGTCTTTAAAAATACAAATCTACATTTTTGGAATGCATTTTCAAATATATGTAAAAATATATGTTGAAATCATTTTTTATGTGTTAAAAAAAATCTGAAGAATATATTTTTAAAAAATATATTTTTTTTAAATATATTCTTCAGATTTTTTTTAACATATACAAAAGTAATTTTAACATATATTGACATCAATTTGAAATGCTACAATTTTGGTCATATTTCATATATTTCAAAATATTTCAATATATATATATATATATATATATATATATATATATGTGCATGTGTGTGTGTATGTGTATTGTATTTTTTATATGTTAAAGAAAATCTGAAGAATATATTTAAAAAGAAGATATTTTTCAAAATATTTCTCATATATTTTGTAATATATAAAAAACACATTTCAACATGCAGTATATATATATATATATATATATATATATATATATATATATATATGTGTGTGTGTGTATATATATATATATATAAATATATTGAATATGACCAAAATTGTAGCATTTCAAATATATGTCAATATATTTGGGAAGAATATTTTTAAAATATATTTCAAATATATTTTTCTTCCATGTGGGCAACCTGTGCCCTGCAGGCCACATGTGGCCCTTGGAGCCTTCTAATGTGGCCCTCGACGTCAAACAAGGTAAGTGCATGCCTGGGGTCGGCAACCCAATGATCGCGATCTGGGATTGCTGACCCACCATCCCAGAGCCTAATAGTGCATCGAGTCAGCGCCGGCAGCTGAGGAAGCAGGGGGGCCGTGGAGAGGCAGCTGAGGAAGCAGGGGGGCCGCGGAGAGGCAGCACAGGAAGCAGGAAGGCCACGGAGAGGAAGCAGGGGGGCTGCGGAGGGGCAGCAGAGGAAGCAGGGGGAACGCGGAGAGGCAGCAGAGGAAGCAGGGGGGCCACAGAGAGGCAGCAGAGGAAGCAGGGGGCTGCAGAGAGGCAGCAGGAGCCACATAAGCCGGTGCTTGCTCTGTAGCGCCAGCCCCTGTCTCAGGACATTTCTAGTAGCCTTGAAATGGAAAGTAATGCCAGCAAAAGCTAGAAGAGGGAAAAAAAAGGTCTGTGTATTAAACATCACATACACTGCACTTCTGCAATGGCCATATCAGCACCTATAAAAGGGTTAACAACTGTTAGGCTGCTTTCACACTGATCCAGGGGTGCACCTGCGGCTTTTCTGTGGGTCAGCGGCGCTGAGCCATAGACTTCTATTAAATCCTACAGGTCTGGTGCACTTTCTGAAAGGAAAAGCTGCAGGTGCACTCACAGTGTGGGCAGACCACAGCGCATCACTGTGAAAGCAGCCTTAGAGGGGGTTCAAAACAGCAAGGAGTAAGTTACATTTGCGGTTTGGGGGAGGGGGTAAAACCCCATAGTTGAGACATGTTTTTACCATACTTCCTCCAACCACTGTTGTAGAGTCAGAGGTTGCAATGGCGACCTCGCCCCATGCTCCAGGGGACCCGTGCGATCACATTCTGTTTTACACTAGGCAGGAAGGGTGGCGGGGATGGTATATACAGAAACCGATCCTCTCTATTTTCTTCCTGCTACCACTGCATCTCCTCCTCTCCCACCTGTCGGCATTCAGCGGCTGCAGGAGGAAAATGTTCATTATGCTATTCAAAATAAAAAAATGTGAAATTCGGATCCATTTCATTTCATCGTGGCCTGAGATGGTGATTACTAAATCACTTAAAGTGGAACTTTAGGGTGAGAAATAAAAATGGGTGGACAGGCAGGATTTTTAATGCAGAAGAGACATGCTTTGTCTCTTCTGCATTACAGCTACACTATATTGCCAAATGTATTGGTCCCGCCCTCCAAATGTGATTCAGGTGTTCCAATCGCCTCCTAGGCATGCAGACTGCTTCTACAAACATTTGTGAAAGAATGGGTCGCTCTCAGGAGCTCAGTGACTCCAAGCGTGGTCCCATGATAGGTGGCCACCTGTGCAATAAGTCCATCCGTGACATTTCCTGGGTACTAAACATTCCACGGTCAGCTGTTAGTGGGATTATAACAAAGTGGAAGCAACTGGGAACAACAGCAACTCAGCCACCAAGTGGTAGGCCATGTCACATGACAGAGCAGGGTCTGCGCATGCTGAAGCGCACAGTGAGCAGAAGTCACCAACTGTCTGTAGAGTCAATAGCTAACAGTCAAGCATTACATATGTTGAACATTATGTGTGGCCCTTTGGTGTTTTCTGGGACTGCATTTGAGCCGCATTGCACCTGCATTCTAGTGTGAATGAGCCCCAAGGAGCATAACAATACTTGAACAAAAATGAGCCGCATGGTCGAGTTGCCAGAAAGAAGCCTTTACTGTGCCAATGCCAAAAAAAAGCCCAATGAGACATGTCAAGGTGTTGTCGGGTATATTGTAAACCAGGCTTTTTGTGGCATTGGCAAAGTAAAGGCTTCTTTCTGGCAACTCAACCATGCAGCTAATTTTTGTTCAAGTATCGTTTATCAAATGCATATTTTCAGGGAAAAAAAAAATACACTAAAATTAATTTTAGTGCCAACAAATACAATATTATACCCAATTTTTTGGTAAACTTTAAAAGATCGGATTGCATCGAGTAAATAGGTTTCAAACAAGTCAAGCTCTAAAATTGTACATGCCCATAAAATCGCAAAAAAAAACTATGGTACCCTATGTGATAAACTAAAAGTTTAGTAAAAACATTTTTTTTAAAAAGTGTAAAAAATTAAAGATACACCCAAGTACTTAGAAATTTTGAGACCCCTCACCCCCAAAGACATGCACACACAAACATAAATGCAGATGTTGGGGACGCCTACGCATGAAAACGCTACACATGGTACATATGGCCATAGACCAGTCACCGTTAACTCCAAACTGATGACCTGTTAGGGATTTTAACCCCTAGGCGCCGGCGCCTCCCAGCCCTTTAAGGGTTCCAGAAGCTGGGAGGCGAGGCGGGGGTTTTAGGGTCATGTGACCGCTGTGATTCGCTGTCACAGCAGTCACATGATCGGGAAAGGTCCTGTTCGAAAGGGGAGATCGGGACCTTTCCGTGAGTACCGAATGTGCGTGCTGGGAGTGCGCAGGGCGCACGCTCTCAGCACATATGTTTTTTTTCTAATAGAACGCAAATGTGCGGCCCAGAACACATTTGCGTTCAGCCGGCGCCAAAAGGTTAAAGCTACGCCTATTAAAAACATAGGGTACGGAAGTTTTTTGCAGTTTCACAGGTTCACGCAATTTTAAGGCTTGACATGTTGGGTATCTATTTAGTCGGCGCGACCTCGTCTTTTATATTTTACCAAAATGTAGGTAATGCTTTGCATTTGTAGGCCCTATTATTAACTTTAATATATTTTTGTACAAAAATTGTGCATTTTCGTAAACCTTTGTGCTACAATTGTGTGACATAAAGAATTGGAACTACCACTGTTTTATTTTCTAGTCCACAGGTGTCAAACTGGTGGCCCTCCAGCTGTTGCCAAACTACAGGACCCATGAGGCATTTCAGGATTGACAGTTACAAGTGTTACTTATCCCAAAGGCAGAGGCATGATGGGACTTGTAGTTTTGCAACAGCTGGAGGGCCGCCAGTTTGACACCCCTGGTGTAGTGTATTATAGACAAAATCATTATGGATAACTCATGGAAGGTGTGTGAGACTGTGATTGAGGTGGGGTTATTGCAGGTCAGCTGGATGACTCAACAGGTTGTGGCTCTATCGCCTCCTCCTGACTCTGGAGGACCATAGAACCTTCCAGAAGTCGGTAAGCAGGAAGTTACAAGTTACAGTTACAAGCATGATTCCGAAAAGCAAAGGCATGATGGGACTTGTAGTTTCACAACAACTGGAGGGCCACCAGTTTCACACCCCTGCTCTAGGGTGTCTGCATTCAGAAAATATATGTTTTGGGGGTTTTACACAATCTTCGGGCCTAAAATAATTTTTAAATATGTGTGCAAAAAAAATGCAACAATTGCTCTTGCAGTGAAAGGGTTAAACTACCCTGTGTCATGGGGAAAGAAAACTAGCGAAAACAATGCCAATAAAACTTGATCCTCATTCAAAAACTGAAACCTTTATTAAACAAGTTTGCATTCAACACGAATCAGTTTCGACTTTCAAGCGCCTCTAGTCTTTTGTGGCAGTTGAGATGCAAGGTGAGGGAGGACTTCTTTGAGAACTTTATCCCACACTTAGAACAGACATGCATGGTTTCAGCCGTGTGCACTTTCTCGTGCCTAATCAGATCCGACTTCTGGGGAAAGCCTTTGCCGCACTCAGAGCAGGTGTAGGGTCGATTGTGGATCTTGCGATGTACGTCCAGGTACGATTTGTCGGCAAACCACTTCCCGCATTCGGAACATATGTATGGCTTTTCCCCCAGGTGAACCTGCTCGTGTTTGATCAGTGATGTCTTCTGGGAAAAACATTTCCCACACTTGGCACATGGGTATGGTTTTTCTCCAGTGTGGGTCCTCTGATGGGATGTCAGACTTCCCATCTGGGTAAAACTCTTCCCGCACTCCGAACACGTGAAAGGCCTCTCGCCCGTGTGCGTTCTTTGGTGATGAACGAGGTTGGACCTTTGCGTGAAAGACTTCCCGCATTCGGTACATGGAAACGGCTTGTCGGTGGCGTGAATTTTCTCATGGTCGGCAAGGTACGCTTTGTCGGTAAATCCCTTCCCACACTCAGCGCAGCGGTAGGGCTTTTCTCCCGTGTGAAGTCTCTGGTGCGCTATAAAGGTTGACAGGCGCGAGAGACACTTTCCACATTCGGAACAGGTGAACGGTTTTTCGGACGTGTGAACTCTCTGGTGGTAAATAAGATGTGATTTGCAGGTGAAGCTTTTGCCGCATTCCACACATGGATATGGTCGCTCCCCAGTGTGGACTCTTCTGTGCATGCAAAGGTTTGATTTCCGGGGAAAACATTTGTCGCAGTCTTTACATGAAAAAGGTTTCTCAACAGGGTGAGTCTTCTGGTGTTCGATTAGCTCTGTTCTATCGGGAAAACTTTCATTGCAGTTGGAACACCGATACTTATCAGTCCCTTGATGGGCTACGTAATGGGTGGAAGAAGGTGAGCAATCAAGAAGACACCATTGGTGTGTATGAGGATTGGCTGGTAGATGGGCAATTTCCAGTGCTTGCTGGAGGTTTGGTGTAATAAGATCTTCATCCGATGAGTTGGATGTCATGTCATTGTCTTCTTCACCATCTGGAGGGACAATGGGTTGGGTCTCGTCATCGATACCATTATATTGTTTATCTGGGGATAAGAGAAATACAGCAAGGAAAATGTAAAAAGAATGCAAGTCAAAATAAAGAGCAAGATATGGTTTTATTGTTAGTGGCCTTCAACATCTCAGACAACCTCCAATCTGTGGTTCCTGCTGATTCACATGGCTCATTCTAAAAAGGCTCATTTTCCAGTTACTAGCATATCTTAGAATATTTTTTTAAAAACATGCAGAGAAAGCAAAAGAACAAGAGCATTTTCCTTTTGGATCCGCCCATAGGTTGCGTATATAGTGCAAGAATAATTGCCCGTTTGCATTGCGTTTATGGCGCAGCCCCATAGAGCCGCTGAAAGTGGACTGCCTAACATGTTTTGCTGCAAGCAGATCCCGGTGTGCTGAGTCAGTCCTGCTCTCTGCTAATTTTAGGAAGTGATTTGTGCTTAACGTCTGCCCATAGTCTTTCGATGGTGGACAGGAGGCTTTGCTGATGCCGGTTAATGCACCCGTATATCAGCCTGCATCGGCGGCTCCTGTGCGGCTCCAGGGAGCCCAGCGATCCGAATGTTGCCCAGGCACAGTGGATCCCAATACCACTGGTTCGAGCAATCACATGGTGTTTTAAAACACCAGAAAGTGAAAGTAAAGATCGCTTCTCTCTGCTCTCAGTGTGCGGAGAGAAGTGATCCTGCAGCCTGTGAGTGTAAGGCAGCCTGTCAGGCCACAGTGTCCCTGATCACTGCCGCAGTGTAGGGACAAACAAATAATGCAGCTGGACCCTTGTCTCCTGTCCCAGTGCGCACAAAAACACCACCATACTCCATACCAGAATCCTGATCACCGCCATACTCCATACCAGCATCCTGATCACCGCCATACTCCATACCATAGTCCTGATCACCGCCATAACCCTTACAAGCATCCTGATCACCGCCATACTCCATACCAGAATCCTGATCACCGTCATACTCCATACCAGCACCCTGATCACCGCCATACCCCATACCAGCATCCTGATCACCACCATACCCCATACTAGCGTCCTGATTACCGCCATACCCCATACCATAGTCCTGATCACCGCCATTATCCATACCATAGTCCTGATCACCGCCATAACCCATACCAGCATCCTGATCACCGCCATACTCCATACCAGCATCCTGATCACCGCCATACCCCATACCAGCGTCCTGGTCACTACCATACCCCATACTAGCGTCCTGATTACCGCCATACCCCATACCAGCATCCTGATTACCGCCATACCCCATACCATAGTCCTGATTACCGCCATACCAGAATCCTGATCACCGCCATACTCCATACCAGAATCCTGATCACCGCCATACTCCATACCAGAATCCTGATCACCACCATACCACATACCATTGTCCTGATCACTGCCATACCCCATACCATAGTCCTGATCACCGCCATACCCCATACCATAGTCCTGATTACCTCCATACCCCATACCATAGTCCTGATCACCGCCATACCCCATACCATAGTCCTGAACACCGTCATACCCCATACCAGCGTCCTGATCACCGCCATACCAAATACCACAGTCCTGATCACCACCATATGCCATACCACAGTCCTGATCACCGCTATACCCCATACCATAGTCCTGATCACTGCCATACTCCATACCAGCGTCTTGATCACCACCATAAGCCATACCATAGTCCTGATCACCGCCATATGCCATACCATAGTCCTGATCTCCACCATACCCCATACCATAGTCCTCATTACCGCCATACCCCATACCATAGTCCTGATCACCACCATACTCCATACCAGCGTCTTGATCACCTCCATACTAGCGTCCTGATCACCGCCATACCCCATACTATAGTCCTGATCACTGCCATACGTCATACCATAGTCATGACCACCACCATACTCCATACCAGCGTCTTGATCACCACCATACTCCATACCAGTGTCCTGATCACCACCATACCATAGTCCTGATCACCGTCATACCCCATACCATAGTCCTGATTACCACCATACCCCATACCATAGTCCTAATCACCACCATACCCCACACAAGCATCCTGATCACCACCATACCTCATACCATAGTCCTGATCACCGCATACCCCATACCATAGTCCTGATACCGCCATACCCCATACCAGTGTCCTGATCACCACCATACCCCATACCATAGTCCTGATCACCGCCATACCCCATACCAGCATCCTGATCACCACCATAAGCCATACTACAGTCCTGACCAAAGCCATATGCCATACCATAGTCCTGATCACCCCCATGTGCCATACCATAGTCCTGATCACCGCCATACCATATACCATAGTTCTAATCGCCATACGCCTTACCATCACCCTGATCACCGCCACACCAGTGTATGGCATTTTAGAGTCCCAACTGATCAATTTTCAGATATATATCCCATAGTTTGTAGACTCTATATCTTTCAAACAGACTAAATAATATCAACTGTTTAGCATTATTTTCACCCCAAAAATGTAGCAAACTACATTTTGGCCTAAATTAATGAAGAAAAATTATGTTTTTTGCTAAAACTAAGCAAAAAATTATTATTTTTTTTTTTTCAGCTTTTCTGTCTTTTTTTCATTTATATAGCAAAACATAAAAAAAAAAAAAACCCAGTGGTGATCAAATAGCACAAAAACAGAGCTCTCTGTAAAAGATGGTGATAGACTCACAAAGGATAAAATATCAAAAGGCACATCATGTGAAGTGCAGCAAGGTCCAATCAACTGGATGATATCTGTGTTGGGATTTGTAGACCTCCAAATGGTTGACGCATTTCGAGGCTTAGCTTCTGAGGAAGAGGCTAAGCCTCGAAACGCGTCAGTAATTTGGAGGTCTACAAATCCCAACACAGATATCATCCAGTTTGATTGGACCTTGCTGTACTTCACATGATGTGCCTTTTGATATTGTATCCTTTATGAGTCTATCACCACCTTTTATACAATAAATTAATTTTTAAAGGTAATGCACAAAAGGTTAGCTTTGGGGTATCAATGAAGTCCTCCCTCTTATTTTGACAAGACATCAAGGAGAACAGAACCCGTTTGTTGTCATTGCTTCACAGAATCAGACCGATGGACTGGCTTTACTCTTTTCATATTTTACTTGGACCGTCAATCAAAGGCTATTTGTCTTAAAGGACCAGTCCACCTAAAAGTGACATTTTAATTATAGGTGATGCTTGGTGGGCTGAGGCTTCTTCCTTTGTCTTGGCTACTCCACCAGTGAGATCTCTCTGCTATGTTCCTGACTCTGTTCCTGTCCTCCTGGGAGATTTGAGTGTTCCTCTCCATTTTTGTGTGTTCCAGCACCTCCTCTTACATTCAGAATAAATCACAATTCAACAGGGATGGTGGGAACCTCTCCCAATGAGCACAGTAAGTGTCTAGACCTAGTGCAGAGATCTCACCAATCGACCGATCAATCAAGGAGGATCTGGGACTCTTCTCTGGATTTAGTGTTTATTCCTCACCTGTGCTGATCTCTGGAGGGGTTTCTTCTTCTTTTTACACGGGTTGTCCTTCCTCACATACAGGTCTTCTGCTTCCTCTTTAATTTCAGCTTTAACATTCGTTTGATATTCAGCCTGATAGATGGAAAAAATATAAGGCATTACTTACATAGTTAGTCTGGCTGAGAAAAGACACAAGCCCATCCAGTTCAACTATTAAAAAAAGTTAATCCTACACCCACAGTTGATCCAGAGGAAGGCAATAAAACCCAGCAAAGCAGGATACAATTTGCTCCTGCAGGGAAAAAATTTCCTTCCTGATCCCCCGAGAGGCAATAGGATATTCCCTGGATCAACTTTACCTATAAATGTTCTATCCATTTATATTCTGTGTATCCAAGAAAGAATCCAGGACTTTCCTACAGCAATCCACTGAGCTGGCCACAACCAACTCTTGAGGGAATCTATTCCATATTTTCACAGCTCTTACTGTGAAGAAACCTTTCCGTGTTTGGAGACTACATTTCTTTTCCTCCAGACGTAAAGAGCGCCCCCTTATCCTCTGTGATGACCTCGGGGTGAATAAGTCTGCATTAGAAAATATAAAGGTGCCCATTCATAAAAAAGAACAATGTCTCCTGAGCTGGCCAATCAGATTGGTTTAAAGAGGACTTGTACTGTGCTATGCTTATAAAAAGGACAGGCACAGAGGAAAGGCTCGTCACCAGTATTGCTCGTGGTCTCCCTGCAGCTGACTTTTTCACCATTGCAAACTTACCACGCTTTGTTCTGCACTGTGTCTCTATAGGTAGGTGGCCATCTTGGTGGAGGCAGGGCTTTTCTTCCTCTGGTCAGAACCTCCAGCACGGAGAACTAGTAGTCAGAGGCAGCAGTGCCAGAGATCTCACACTGCAGATATACAGCTGGGGGGGGGGGGGGGGTCACAGAAGTGCCCATGTACACTCACATACCAGAAGTGCAATGCTATTTTTTTAGGAGGAATTCCAGACAAAGAGGCACATTTTCCTGCATTCAATATATCTGGTCTCCCCGGACCCTGCATTCACTATATCTGGTCTCCCCGAACCCTGCATTCACTATATCCGCTCTCCCCGAACCCCGCATTCATTATATCCGCTCTCCCCAAACCCCGCATTCACTATATC